GGTTATCGGCTACATGAGTTTTAAAATATCGGCATATCGGATATCGGCCAAAATCCCAATATCGTGCATCCCTAGTTGTTTTTTAATTTTTTTTATTTTGCACTAAAAAACAGCAGACCTCTGAGGTGAACTGCAGCCAGCGCTACCTTAGCCTGTCTGCAGCAGCCATCTCTTGGCATGACTGTGTGAATTACCACTGGCTCTGATTGCGATTATTATTATTATTTTTTATTTGGCAAAGCATTCATTTGATTTGTGTTTATCTGACTGTTCATTATTCCCCCACTGAATAAACTGAACTTAAATGCATGAGATTTGCGTTTGGTCAAATTAAAACGAATATAAATTTTGTTTGCTTTTTTAAAATTTGTTTTTATTTTACTTTTTTTAGTACATCATGGAGCTAGCAGATGCTCTCCATTACTGTCATACGAAGAATGTGATCCACAGAGACATCAAACCAGAGAACCTGTTACTAGGTGGTAATGGTGAGCTGAAGATTGCTGATTTTGGGTGGTCTGTACACACCCCATCTTCCAGGTACATGCATATCCCATGGTTATTAACCTGATCTCTATTTATTTTAGATCAGATTTTTTTGTGGTTGTATGTTTTGCTTTAAAAAAACAAGAAGTCACAATGTTTTGTGCTGAATCTCCTGCAGGAGGTCCACTCTGTGTGGAACACTTGACTACCTTCCTCCAGAGATGATCGAGGGCAAAACTCATGATGAGAAGGTGGATCTTTGGAGTCTTGGTGTCCTCTGCTACGAGTTTCTTGTTGGGAAACCTCCTTTCGAGGCAAAAACTCATGATGAAACCTACCGCAGGATTTCAAGGGTAGGAATTCAGACAAAAAATAGTTCAGTTTCATTTTTCACAGTGGATCGTCACACTGAGAATGTTTTACACTTTTTTGTATGCAGAATAAAGCAGATCAATGTTTTAAATGGCTTTTTAAAATGAAAACATTTTAGTTTCATACAAACAGCCCAGGTTCACGTAAAGACTTAACATTCCTGTTTTTTGTTTGGACGTAGGTGGAATACAGTTACCCCCCACAGGCCGGCATCAGTGCTGGAGCTAAAGACTTTGTGGCTAAGCTGCTTAAGCATAACCCCATGCACAGACTGCCTATTCAGGGAGTCCTAACTCACACCTGGGTGCTTGACAACTCTACAAAGAAGCCTACCACCTTTAACATTGAAGAGTCCGGTCAGTGACTGCGCTCCCAGCAGCCTGCCACGTCCACAGTGCGAGGAACCATCTGAACTCCAATGGCTCTGTAGTCACAGCCAATTGACAACTACGTCATTACTGTAGACTATAAACCAATGAACACAGCGGACTACAACAGTGGCACTTCTCACTGTTCAACACAATGTTTTTACCTCTGGGTGATATATGAATGTTTGTTTCCCATTCATGTAAAGGCATTACGCAAAAGCCTATAAAGAATCCCATAATTACTAAAAAACTGAAATATTTACCGGAATAATAATGCCATCATAACTTAAGTGTATCTCAAATTTGAAATTATTGGATCTTTAATCAGGCTTTTGCCTAAAAGGCTAATGCCTTTACATGAAATGGGAAATGACTCTCTCAAAATATCACTTTGGAGGTAAAAACAATGTGAACAGTGAGATTGTCGCTGTTGCTGTTTGTTTCCAGGACTTTCAAAGGGGATTTTTCACTGAGATGATTTGAGTTCAATTACTGTTTTAATTACAACTGTCCAGCAGAGGGCGCCAAGCAACCACTATAACAGTGCCTGTCCATGGGTTTAATGTCTTGTATTTTTTTCTGTTTTATAAAGTTTAATAAAATTTTTAGATCATATATAAGATTGGTCTCGTTTTTCTTAAAAGTCAAATTACAGCATTTACTTAGTCAAATGTATTATTTATACATTTTGTGAGAAATACTATTATTGCATTAATTATTTTAATAGAAGAAAATTTAAGTTATTCTGCCTCATGTAAAGACATCAGCTTTCCAAAAGATGTTAGTTTTTTATTTTTGTAACCGATGCAGTGGAAAAGGTGTTATTTTTTTCCATAACATGTAGAGGTTTCAGATAAAGGTTATTTTGAACATGGTCTTTACTCCTCAAATGGTGCAGTTTAAGCTTTGCCTTGTCCAAATTGTGGAAACTAAATATATAAAGCTTGTTTAGCAATCAGAATAATCAAAATAGGATTATTTGATTAGAAAAACAAACCTAAACAAACTTATTCTACATCTAATTAAATTCAGTTCACTTCAAAAATTCCTCTTGAAGTTATTGTGGATGCTGATGGTTTCCACACTTTGCCACATTGTGGTTCACCATCTCCTGTTGAGGGAGGGTCCATCTTTGATTTAGCCAATGAATGCAGAGTCATCTTGGTATTATTTTTTTTTTTTTCTACAAATGACTTGACTTTGTCTTTTACTGGAAGTTGGTGTACAATATAAAAAGGAATAGGGAGTATATGCTGCTTACTTGCTGGTTATAGACATGTGACCTTTCCATCTCTTAAGAGTTCCTGACAAAGTAAATCAGGCTAAATGATTGGATGCACTAGAGAAATAAGAGCCTGATCCTCACAGGGCTCTATGTCTTAAGTGAGAGTGGGCTTCTTGAAGCAGGTGTATTATGGCATTTTCAACTCCAACCCATTTAAATAGGAGCTTAATGTGGCTGGTCAGATGGTCCGTTGGAACTTTAATGATATTTCTTCCACAGCACTGGAAGACCTTTGCCTAAACGAGCCCCAGAGTCTCCATTAGGCTAAGGTAGAAGATATGCTGTGGAATCCATCGGAGCTGCTCTGTTCCTACCTTCAGGACTCTAGGGCTGGCATCATTTGGACCTGGAGCATTTTAAGGGTTTCATTTCTCCAGGTGCTTTTTCCTGAATTCTGGAGACAGACAGGTGGAAGGAGCAGACAAAAGGAGCAGAATCATCCTCTGATTTGGTTGAGAACAAACATGTAGAAACAGAAGAGTCCAAGATTGAGATTATTGATACAGCATTTGTGTTGAGACCATGGTCTGGGTCAAAGAAGACAAGGATGTGTTTTAATGTGGCCAGGAGAGAAGGATGCTGAGCTGAACCTATTGAAGAACATGTTCAAACATTGGTTCTGTCCAAACTCTCTTCTTTTTTTTATTATTATTCTGTTTGAAGCAAGTTATCTTTTTTTTTTTCTTTTTTCAATCCCTAACCTTGTTTTGCTGGAGGTCCCCCTTAGGAGGCCCTTCATGTCACTAAACCACCACCGGATTCTCGTTTGATTGGTTTAATATTTTTGTCCACTAGGTGGCCCCCTAAACAATATGGAAAGAAACGTAGGCCTATGTAATTGATTTAATGGTCTTCTAGGTTTATACATATATATATATATTTTTAATCATTGATAACATTTATATAGAAATTTTTTTAATATAAGAAGATAGTATTTGGAGTTAAATGGCATTTTTGTTCACATTTGATCAAATTCTTACTATTTTTTTTCCTTGCAAAAACACTTCATTTTGTATTTTAAAGGGCCAATTGGACCCATTTAAGTGCACAGAAACCCTTAAGGAATTAATTCAAGGTCGTTTGCATGTGATCAGGGTCTTAAATCGCAAAAATAGAACACAACTGTTGGTTAAATTTGTTTGCAGCTCCTGTGATTTCCTCACTTCAAATGAAGTGATCCGGAAATAAAATAAAGAGCTTGTCCAGATGTTGCCCTCAGGAGGAAACCAACAGAGTGGATTAATAGGAAGGCCTGATGCTGCCTGCAGCAGAAAACCTGTTCCAGCCAAACATGCATCCTCTGAGTTTCTCCAATGATACTAATGAAGGAGTTTACAGTTAATCAAAGTGACCTAAGGAGCTCATTTTTTTCATTTGCATCAAAAATATGACTTCTGCTCTCACGATCATTTTCTGCATTTTATTATAGAGGAAAAAAAAATACATGTTCTGACCGATTTTCATTTACATAAAACCACACACATTTTTACAATATAATTTCACTTATTTCTTTATTCTTTAATATTAATTTCACGATATATGATAACCACTTTTGAGATATACATTCCATCTTTTTGAAACCACAATAACACACTACACATACGGTTTTTTTAAATAACATTTCCACAGGACCCCATTGGATTGCACAGAATGAAAAATGTCTGTATGCACATTTTCCTCTTTGATAATCTCACTTTCCATCAATTCAGATTTTTTTTAAACTTTTTTTTTTTTTTTACTTTTTATTTTAGACATCGAAATTTTCAAGACTGGAGCGTTTCAAATCCATTTTAATAAACAGGCCATGTGTGGATCTAAATGCGTTATTTTTAAAACTCAGTTTGCGGTTTCATTTCAGTGTTGCCATGTTGAGAGAAAACGAGGCCGTGATGGAGCGGTTCTGGGGGAGGGGGGTGTAAGAGAGGGTAGAAGCGGAAAAGGACTGGGATCTTTTTATTTTATTTTATTTTTTTACTAATGCGTATTGATAAGCTGAAAAAACATAAAACGGTGAGGATTGTGACGGGGGAAAAGGCCTGCAAAAGCATCAACACGTTCATACAAATGAACCAGAACACTCAACCTTTCTTCATGTGTCCACTTCCCCTTTTATACATTCAATGCATAGTTTTTACAGCTGCTGTTTTCTATTTGATGGTTTTACTCTGTTAGCTTTTATTGAAAAATCCAGATTTTCCTTTTTTTTAAAAACAAACAAAAAGCCTTCTTTTTTTTTCTTGAGGCAGCCTTAATTCCAACTACACTCTAAAAGAGAATAACCCTCCATTGGATAGATTCAATTGTTAACTAATAATTGAATGCAGTTTATTAACTTAATTTATCTAGTTTAAACATTGCCAAGTTTAATATTGGGCAAAGATAATTCAAACCTTGTTAACAACTGAAGCCCTTCCTTTAAAGTTGGAGCTGCATTCTCTTTTAGAGTGCATTTTTATTTTTGTATTCTGTCACTTTTTGGGACTTTTTCAGGCTTTAACACCTCATTCAGTCCCTACAGTCATACTTTTTTTTAAATTCACTTTTCATTCTTTAAAAATCCCAAACTCAATCGTTTCGCAATGTGAGGTCTCATGTGGGGAAGCACCACAAGAGCGACGTTGAAAAAGGCAGGCTGCCCCTCTCCTTTTGCAACTTTGCTTAAGGTCAGTGTTGTAAACGTTCACTCCACTGGAAAATATGTCTGTGTTAAGTATACAGCATGTGCCCTTTTGTTCGACGCTTTCTGCTCTTTTTTCTTGCTGTTAGATTTACTGGTGTGTGTGTGTGTGTGTGTATAAAGAGATGAGAGCGCGCAAATGTTGGTGTGTGCTTTCTGCGCGCTTTTACGCATGGATCAAGCAGAGGGGGAAGGAGCGCAGCGCACGCAGCCTGGTGTTTGTGCGTGTTTTTTTTTAATGTTTTCTCACTAAATGGGTATTTGTAGTTCACGCTTACAGGCGCGTCTTCATGGAGTAAAATATAATCGAAAAGCTCATTTATTTTACCAAATCAGTTTCAAGGTGAAACGTGTACATTCATTACATGCAGTGTGATATAGCTATTTCCAGCGATTTATTGTGCTGATTTTGATGATTAAAGCTTACAGGTAATAAAAATCCCATTTTAGTTTTTGAGAAAAAAAAATACATAGGACCAGTTCAAAAGAAAAAAAAAAATCTTAATATAGAGGTATTCCCAAATGGGCTCAGGTCAGGAGAGTTTGCTGAGCAACCAAGTACAGAGATGCCATGGTCGTTAAAGTTGGGATGTGTACTTTATGGGTTGTGTCCAGAGCAGTGTGGCGAAGGAAGCTGCATCAGCATCGGAGGGTTGTTAGAGGAGAAATGCATGAAATACTCCAAACTTTCTTGGTAGATGTCTGGTTTGACTTTGGACTAGATAAAACACAATGGACCAACACTAGCTGATGATTTGGCCCCTCTGATAAAGACCTCTGGAGGTGGAAACTTAGCACTAGGCTTCAAGCAATTTAGATTTAAATCTTTTAAAAGTCAGTAATGGAGTTAGACTTATTTCTGATGTAAGCTTTTGTTTTCTGCAAAGATAACTTTGGGTCATAAATCCAGTTATTTGCCTAAGCTAAAATTTGACAAAGTCTATACTACTACTACATATCTGAATTGTCCAGTAAATGAGAGTCAAAAATGTTCAGGAAACATTAATTCCTTTCTTCTTAATAATTTTTCCCTCTATTCAAATGTCTATGTAAATGGTTTTAAACAGAAACCCTTGAATATTCCTTCTAACAAGCTCCTGTTCTTGCCAATTCTTGAAGGTGTCACTGACTTATGTCTGACTAACAGCTCTCAGTCTGCATTCCTCTTAATGGCTTTGTAGGGCATTGTATGGTATAACATTAGTTTCTATATTTAAAACCTTTTTATGGCCTTCTGTAATATATAATTTCTCAAAAAAATACAGAATTTGGATTTTTATTAGCTGTAGGTAAATCATCAAAATGACTTAAATAAAGGCTTTAAGTAGATATCGCACTCCATGTAACATATATTTTATCGCGTTAACTGAGTTAGTAAAATGCATTTACTTTGTGATGATATTCAAATTTACTGAGATGCATCTGTGCTTCCAATGATCGCTCGCCTCTAGTCTTCTATGTTATATTTGTAAGCCTCTATGAGCCCCTCCATGGAGTGGATGAAACCGGATATACTGCATATACCTCCTATTACAAAGATGGAGACGTCAAAGAACACCTGGTGCCATTGAAGCTTTCTCCATAAGAGCTTGAGGTGGAAGATGCTTGGGAGCAAAAAGCAGAGCCCGGCGCCTGTCAGGCTGCCGGTGAGGCCCATGAGCAGGGCGAAGTGCGGCACATAGATCGCCATGAGCAAGGTGAACACCACAAGTATACATCGGAGGGTCAGTCCCCAGGACTTTAGGCGTCCATCGCCTCCGTAGCAGTCCGGAAAGAAGGCGCGGCTTCCTTCCTGGAAGAAGCTTTTCTCCAACACCTCCACGGCGGCGAAAAACGGCAGCGGGTAAGACAGCAAAGCTTTGGCCACCAGAAAGATGTTGACCACTGCTCGGATAGTCGGCGGAAGGTTGTCTGTAATCACCTCCTTGGTTTCGTCGGCCCAGGTCAGGTAAGCCACCAGGGCGAACAGGCCCTTGAGGATGCAGGCAGCGATGTGAGTCCATTTCATCATGCAGTGGAACTCGCTTGGTTTCTGCATGTTCCCCTCCAGGGACGGCAGGAAGATCTGCGAGGTGTAGCTGAACACGATAATCCCAATGGAGATGGGGAATTTCTTGACATCGATGTAAAACTTGACCTTGTCCCAGGCCCAGTCCCTCGCCCTGGATAGGCAGTAGGCTATCACCAGGACATTGATGACGAAGTGAGCCATTGTGCACAGCAAACTGAACTTGGAGACGGCTTTCAGATTCTTGAGGAATGCGCAGGGAAGCAGAGCGGCGGTGGCGATGATGGCCCACGATTTCTGGGAGATGGGCATGTTGGGGAAGCTGTTGTACATGAGATTCCCGCTGACCACTACGTACAGGATGCAAGTCATAACCAGCTCTATGATTTGAGCTACATTCACGACGTGACCGCCCAGCGTTGGGAACCTGGGCGCACAGCAGGCGTTGGCAATGTCAACATAGGAGTCCCTCACACGGACCAGCTGCCCGTCTTCGTCCTCCTCGTATAGGCAGGCGATGAGGATTTTCCCCGTGTAGCAGCACACCACGGCGGCGAAAATAATGAGAAAAAGTCCGAGGTATCCTCCATGCAGGATGGCGTAGGGCAAGCCCAGAACAAACATCCCCTAGGAAGAGACAGAAGAAAAAGCATTAATGTTGTGCAGGATATTCAGAGGCACATCTAGGGAGTTTTATTAGGGTTAGTCATAATGTCTAATAGGAGAATTTATATAGAGAGTTTTCTTCCAGTTTTTTCAGTTAGTCTGTAAGTTATTGTTATTAAATACCTAAATGCCAAATAAATACTTAGATTTGTCATGTTGACCATTTAAGAATGATTCTAGTGGTTTTACATGCAAATATGCAAACCTTATATTATCTGAAGATAGAATGGGGATTAGACAACACATATCTAAGAATTTGCACGATGAATGGTAGCAAGATTGTTTTCATATAAAATAACTAAATGGGAACTTATTTAAATTTGGGCCTGTTTTAATTACTTTAGATTGTTTAAATAAATATTGAATAAAATATTTAATACATTTAATTTTTTCACAGATCCATGTGTAAATATTTGCAGTAATCTTAGTAAGTCTTATTCCTTCTAAGACCTGTTATGATGCTTGTTTTTTGGAGGTGGGCAATTTATTTACTTCTTTCATTTAAAAAATAAGGGCCAAGAAAACTGAATTCAGTGATATAAGGTACATTCATTTTTTAATCCTGTTAAAGTAAATCAATTAGCAATAATTATGGATCTTTGTTTGATGGTGGGTAACCAGCCTCTCTGGACCAATTAAACAATCTCTAGGGTCCCCATCCAATCTTTGGCCGTCCCTGTTTTCTTGCAGCACGTTTATGTGAGATTGGACCGCATGACTCCAGTGAAGCTGTCATGTTTTTCATGTTGTGGGTTTTCCACATGGCTTTAAGCACATCCACCCGCTTCTAACGTCATCAGTGGCTGGAGGAGACACACTCTTACGTCAGGCCATTACCAAAGCATAAGCAGGAACTGCGTGGATGAAGGAATTTTTGTCGCATAGCCCTCCACAGCAGTGCGCAGTTTCGTCTATTTTCCACATCTTTGTCTAATCGAGACTTTTCTTGCAATTTTACTGATCAAAAAAATTATATAAAAAAAAAGAAATAGTTTTTCCTTGCAACGAATTCTCTTTCTGTGAAGTTTAAATGTAATAAATGCCTGTTCTTACTGCTGACAATTTAGAATTTGTATAAAAGTAGAGGCTGTAACCTTGTATTCACTGTTGGCCTGCAGAATAATGCTGTTATTAGGAGGGTTCAGTGACAGTCGGCATTACTGCAGACAAAGAATGTGTGAGATGAAGGAAGGGGAGGGTTAGAGATGTTAGGACATCATCTACCTTCCACCCCTTCAGCTCCCCATGCATGAGCAATCTGATTATAATTTAGCAACCCAAGTATATATCAGTAATTTTGTGAACTTATAAATATTAAATGCATTAAAATTCTCCTTTTTGTTGCTTGATCTAATGTTTTAGGTAAGTCAGTAAGGGATGTTTGGTCAATTAGAGCAAAGCCTTTACCTGGATTGCGTTCGTGACGTTCCAGCCTGCTTCCCAGGCGGTGATTTTTGGTTTGACTTCGGATAACTCATTCGTCGAGCCCCCGTCCTTGGAGGCAGAGTGCGGTGGACCGGTGCCGTCTCTCTGGTAGTGGCTGTCCCCCTCCTGCCCGCCGCCGTCTCCGCCACCTTCCCCTCCGGTCTCGTCCGAGGACAGAATGTCCATCTGCATACCTTGGCGGTGATCATAATCCAGGTCGTCGCAGGCAGCAAAGCCAAGACCTTCCTCGTCCGTAGCGGCCTGGAAGCCCATTCTTGCGAACATCCCGCTCACCTTTGCTGTGGATTTGTTGGACACGGCCGTGGCTGCGTTGGACAGTTTATTGGATATTTTACCTCTGATTAATGTCGCCATTTTTCCTCCTTTGTCAGAGCTAAACCGTCCACTGATTAGTTAGAAGTGTGTTTCTCTTTTCCAGGTTGGTAAAGAAAAAATTGTAGGCTACTGTGTTCTGCAGCTCCTTATTCTCAGCATGAGATAAAGCCACAAGGAAAAGCGCAATTTTGGCTTCAAGACACGACGGTTTTCAGTTGCTATCTCCACTTCTTGTTAAGTGTGCGGCTGATGCTCTTGGATATCCTCAGGTTCATGTCACCTTCAGACTTCGTTGCTCCGTTTCTGCATCCTGGCGCTGCGCTCTGCCGCTTGACGAATGTCAGCGCACCTTCCCAGTCTCCAAGGCGCTGTGCGCAAACGCTTTACGCACGACCAAAAAAAAAAAGAAAGAAGAGAAAAAAAAGTATGCCACAGGTTCCTGCGGGCTCTTTGCACCGTGTTCCTTCTTTTGGGGGGGAGTATAGCGTGGCAAGCAGCTTTCCCCAGGAGTTTAGGTGCCTCTTCTGATGCCAATGCGGTACCGTGGAGCCCGGGGAAGGAGGCAGGGACGAGACACGTGTCCTCATCCGTCTGCCAATGCAAAGCACGTCTCCAGCCCTGCCAGTGCCCCACCAGGAGAAAACGGGAGAGATTTGCTGCATTTCTAGGGGAGGTGCTTGATGCACCCCCACCACACCTTCACCAACCCAGAATCTATTATACTTCATCTTAACATCCAATGGCATTCGGGGGGCCTTAAATCTTGCATAACTTTACGGGTATAAAGAGGGGTGATAATGTGAAGAAACCCGACTCCTTGTTGCAGAAATTATTTTAAAAAAACATCTAGAGGGTTATAATTTTAAAATGGCAATATTTGACCCGTTTTTTTGTTTGTTTTTTCTTTTTAGTGAAGAGGAGCAAGAAGCATCACTTGGATTATTCCGGACCGTGTTGAACGAATGGCTTTAGGTTTATTGGTGATCGGGGATTTATTTTTTTGTTCTTGGTGAAATACTTGCGAAAGAAAAAAAAACTAAATGGTACAAATTTCACCTTAAAGGCTTAATATGTTTGCCAGATGGAAACTTAATTTTATTAACGTTCTGTATGTATTTCTAAGGTGTAGAAATGTGTTCGGTGAAGAAAATAAAAAAGCCTCGTCGTTTTTAACTTACAGGCAGCTCGAGATGAGATATGGGACATTTCATTCAGCCTGGAGATTGGGTAATGTATTTATCTTATCTATTTAAAAAATAAATAGCCGTTTTTTCTAAAAAAAAAAAAATCTACGTTTCAAACAGGCTGATTTTTTTGTTTTTTGGGAAAAAAAGAGAAATAAATACATCGGTTTTCTTACTGGGTTGTATATGGCATCCTTTTCTTCATTCCATTCATTAAAACATGTATTCATGATGCTACTGTGTAACACAGACCCACATTTTTTTTTTCATAATTTCGTAGAGGATGCCTTGTCAGTAGTACTCTGTGTTATCCGTGTCCTCAGAGTGCCTTCAGGCTGCAGCATCAGAGTCTCACCAGGACACAAAGATGCGGCCTTTCCGGCTCATGCGACATCACAGCCTGTGATGAAATACACTAACCTGCTCAAAACAACTGGCTGCTCCAAACATGCTGATTTTATAACTGAGAAAAAAAAGTCATATCTCTAGGTTTGACATATTGTCTGTTTCTATTTAAGTTGCTCCCCAGTTAGAACAGAGAGCAGCGCTAAAATCGTTTTTTGCTGCATGTTTCTTGGTTTTAAAGATAGAAAACCCCCACACATAAAATAGTGTTTCGGACAAATTGATATTTTTAGGGTGTAAACATAAAACAGCCGATCGACACCTCTGACGGACCCCAGTTCCAGCAAAGCATTATCAGGCCGGTGCATCATCAGTAAACCCCTCCAAATACAGGCCGAAAGAATCGCTCACTCTGCTTTGTCCGTCCTTTCCTTTGTGTTTGAACGTGTCTCTGTGTGTATTTTTTTTTTTCAGCTGCGTGGGAACGAAAATGGCTACCGCTTTGAATGAAAGAGTTAATGACGGAGCTGTTATCAGCGGGCTGCAGACCTGCTCAGATCTGCGCTCTGAGCTGTCTGATGGAGTGCGCCTCAGGATGAAAAGAGCAGCTCTGACACCGCGGGCCCCCGGGTCACAGCGACTGCGCAGCTTCCCAGCCCTCCAATTTAACACATGAAAATATTAATATTATTAATGATAATTTATTTTCAATGAAAACAATTTAAAGTAAACGGAAAAATTTAGATTTTTAAGAGGCCCCACATATTTTGGTGTTTGGTATAACTCCTAAATCTGCAAACTGGAGAGTGATGCATGCTGCAGTTCATCACCCATGCTGACTGTCACCATTGGGTCAGCGTGCCAAGTCCCGGGAGGATCCATCCAAGTCGATATGACCAATCATAGCTTCTTATCGTTGCTGTCAAGGTGGTTATGTGTTTGACCCACATGTCCGAGGGTGATACAAAAATAAATCCAGGTTACCATGTGCACACACACATTGTGATCATATCTATTTTCTCCAGTTCCAATAGCATATTCATCCCTCTGCTTCTTCCTCCTCTTCCTCCACTCAATATTTCAGCCTCCCGACTCTCCCTTTTCGCATTACACACATGAGCGAGCTGGCACAAGGTTCTCCGCCCTCGTGTAACTCAGCCCCCATCCTCCACCCAGCTTTAGCACCCCCCTCTCACCCAATTGTTCTTTCAAAATTCACAAAATTATTTTATTACTATGCAGCGTTTTCTTCATTAAAATCTGTCCTGAAAACACAGACCAGAGAAAAAGAAAAAGGAAGCATCTTTTTTTTTGTTTACTAGATTTTGATCCCATTTGTTCCACGTTTTACTTTTTTTTTTCTCCAGACATCTCAGAGACTACTGATACTAAGGGGTCTGTGCAAGATAATGGCCGAGACAATAAAATATTATCTTCGTAGAAAATAAAATGGGCAGACACATCGATGCAGTGATTTGTGGGGAAACTGCAGGACATTATCTACCATTTAATCCATGATCACCTGTCTGTCTTTTTGTGAGCTGCTTCTATCCATCAGCTCAGCGAAGCAGAAAATACCATCAACGCTCCTGTATTTAGAGGGGGGCGCTGAAAAGGCACTCTTCGCTCTCTGGGGAGCGCAGAGGAGGGAAATTAGCCAACATCAAGCCTAATCAGAGGACCTCAGAGTCCATTAACATTTGCATCACAATCACAGGTACAGCGAAGTATCCGCGGATGGCAACGAGCGGATGGAGCTGTTTAAACAGAACCGATTTGAGCGGTTTCTGGGAGGGCATATTTTCAGCACCATGGACAGAGTTTGATACGTTTTGATAGGATTAGAAGTGGTTGGTAAAAATAGCCTTTTTAAAAAAAAAAAAAAAACTATTTCTGAAACGTATTTAAAATTTTGTAATTTCCTTATTAAATGATTTCGTTGGAACTTTATAGCACTGGATTGAACCAACACTAACCCCCCCCCCAGCAAATTATGATGTTATATTTATAGTGAAACTTCTTGAGAAAAACTAAAACAGGTATCATTTAAATGGTTTAAGCATGACGCTTTTAATGTTTTCAAGAAACAAACAGCTAAAAATAGTAATGGATGTTTGACTTTAATTGAAATTTGACTAAATTGTAAGTTATTGTTACCGTTAAAGAATGAGAAATCAAAGCTTGACTGACTCTGTGATGAGACGTTTCAAGAAAAACCATCTGCTTTATTTCAATAAATCTACAAATGCCTATCTACCACATTCCTTCTGCTGCTGTTAAAAAAGAAAACAGTTTTTAATGCAGACATATGTTTTCTCTATTTGTATCGTCACTGCAGCCCTGGAGCCATTAGATAACCACAGCCACCGCCCACTTCCACATAGAGAAATATCCAGGTGGCCCGCAGTGGTAAACCACTAAAAGCCTTTTCATTACTCCTAATGCGCCTGTTTAATGGCTTATTATGAGCTCCCAAGAGGTTTCCTCAATAAGGAGCTCCAATTGGTACTGCATTTTGGCTTGTGTCTGCCAAGAAACAATGACAAATAATGTGAGATCTATCTATCTATCTATCTATCTATCTATCTATCTATCTATCTATCTATCTATCTATCTATCTATCTATCTATCTATCTATCTATCTCTATCTAAATTGTAGATATGTAGTGTGAGGTGAGTTTATTGTGCCTTTGAAGCACTCCCCAGACGCCGTTTTGCTGTTAACCCAAAGTGACTCTGCTCTCTCCATCAACCTTTCATGTCCTCCTTCCCGGGTCTACTCTCCTGCTGCGACACATTAACATTGTAATTGCCTTTTTTTGAGCACAATAAACGGAGCCGGTCCTCTGGGACCTGCGTGGCCCCGGGATCTGGCACAAAGCCTTGCCATTGATTTTTCACACTCACTGCTTCTCACAGCCACCGTCGCGGTTGGAGAAAAGAAAGAAAAAATCTGAGCCATTAACAAACGCAGATCCGATCTGAACATCCATGATTTGTTTGTCTCTGAGTTTTTGTGGAGCATCTGAAGCCTACAGACAAATCTGAATAATTAGTGTTTAGTGATTAGTGTTACAGAAAACAAAGCCAAATGGTATTTGAAATGTTCAATCCAAAATGTCCAATCATCATTGTCATACTCTGCTATTTTTAGGGTATATCATTTGGAAGTTAGTGAGGGTAACGAGAAAAGATCCAGTATCCCATATTGATTGTAGTTAAAAAAACAGTCAATATCCAACCCATGTAAGAAGTCCTTACTGTACTCACACCCTGAGGTCCACACAAGGGCAGATGTTGAACTCAGTAGGACTCTATGTACATGTGTGAGTAAAGAGTGGAGTCAATGAAGGATCAGGCTGCTCTGCTGATCCGTAACAGTTTTGTTCTCATTAAACTTTTATGTCAGGAATGTAGTGACATCCTGTAGACTCTCAGGGATTCTCCCACTGGAATCAGGCTGACAAGTTCATAGAGCAACAGCTAAATTCCCTGATAATCTTTATTCATAAATTTGTGGTTTTAAGAGCAAATCTATATGATCTCATGCAATAACTAGGGTGTTCTTAAATATTTTAAAACGTAGGACTTGAAAATATTTAGTTTATACAAACATATTTTAACTTAATTTAATTTAATCTGAATTAATATATTTGCTGAAATATTTTGAATTTAAATAAGAGTAAGGAAACTTATTTTTCTCAGATTGGGGTTCCCCCACACTTTGGACTCTTATAGAAAAAAGTGTTATACAATCATATGACATTTTTTTTTAATATGTAATACGTTAAATACTTCAAACATCCTATTCATTAGCCCTTGAATTTTTTTGTATACTTGAAAAGCTCAGATTTTATATGTTTTTTATGCATTTAGTCAAAGACATCTAAAAAAAAAATGGTGTGATTAAGCAAGACTGCGTGTTACAAAGTGCTACTGTAAGTTATTTTTAGTGGAAACAAAAACATGGGTTCCTCTCTTTAGGTGAGTTAGATTTGATGCCAACACGAGTTATGAATATAATTTAAGCAATTGAACAATCATGAACCATTCATCTTAAAGTGGTCAGATACAAAAAAGAAAACAGAAAACCAGGATGCAGGTAAACTGTATATATTTATAGAAACAAATTAACAGGCAAAACAAAAAAAACAACAAACAAACCAAACAAAAACATTGGTTGAAACCAGTTTAGATTATCATAAAAACTATATAGGGAGAAAAATATTAATGAATGAAAGATGACGATAGATGTTTGAAATTATTCAGCTTTTCACTCTTTTAAAACCTCTCGCTACTCTGACTGCCAAGCCCACAAAAGTGGAGCACTTATGCCTCTTCACAGTCATGTTACAGAAAGTTTTAATAGCTAAAATAAAAAATGAAAAAATGCTGTGATGGCTCTTAGGCTGCTTTTTGTGGCTAAACTAGCACATTATCTCTTCGCAAATGTGTCTTTGCATGCAACATGTGCTTAATCAATATATAAACTATTTTTCTACACAGATTTTCAAATTAAACCTACTGAGAATACCAAACCAAATTTCCACTGTTGTGGAGACAATGCTCAGAGGGATCATGTACAACAAACTTATTATTCTTTTTTATTCAAAACTCTATCTGGTATTAAACAAAAATTTATGACTCAATGTATGAAAAAGTCTATTTATAAACACAAATATTTGTAGAGTTAGCAGCGTAACTAAAGTTTAAAACTTTCTAAAATGCAGTGGAAGCCCTATTGGTGAACTGTTGGTGCATTAATATCTCAGATATTTGGTGCCCTTTCCCCAGCACCTTACAAGCATGCACTACTTATGTTTGATGTATCACATAATATAGAATTATGTAATATCCATCATTTTCTCCTGCTTTATCTGGGGCTGGGTTGTAGAGGCGGCAGTCTAAGTAGAGATGCCCAGACGTCCTGATCCACAAACACCTCCTGCAGCTGCTCTTGGGAACCCCAAGGCGATACCAGGCCAGCTCAGAGACATAGTCCCTCCAACGTGTTTATGTAACATGTTTGTGGTTATAAAATGGAAAAAGTGGTTATGAATATTTTTTCAAGGCACTAAATACCTGTAAGCTTAAATAGAAGCTCCAGGTATAAGTGGTTTAAATATGGTTTTTAGCTCCTGGCCCATGAAGTTTGCTTAAAAAAAAAAAGAAAATTGAATGAAAGTCTGATAATAACAAAGCAAATAAATGATGTTATGGATGCAGTGTCCGTGAGGCTGAAGGCTGTCCGGAATCAACAGAGCGGTTCAGAGATCCTTTCCTACCCTGGATAGTGTACGTCTGGATAGAAAGGTGAAGGTAAACAGGAAGAGCTGCAGTTCACCCTATTCAGAGGAAATTTTGGGCTCAATCCAAATATCTCAAAGCTGGTCAAATTGGGACTACAGCCTTTAGGAAAAGAACTATAAGATACAAAAGTTGCACAAATATAGAGAACAGATTAATCTCTCTGTTGTAAAACCAAGTGGACATGAAGGTATGTATATTAACATGGGCCACACACAGTATATGTCACAAAATAATGTATTTTTGTTAAACCCTGTAAGATTGACTGTGCCTTTATGCCGGGCAAAGGATTGTGGGTGATTTTGTTGCTCATGTCAGGAGTTCCCTATTCTAACTGCATTGGCAGAAGGAAGCATACAGCTTCCTGGTCTTAGCTCCTTGCTAACTGCCAGCGCAATTTGGATAGCACTTATTATGTCTCCCGATTTAAGGTTTTCTTTCATTTGGTCTTTTCTCAGCATCCCTGTCTGACTCTGATCAGCAATCACTGTTCATATCCTCAGTCACTAATCATGCTACCCAGTAAAAATTCCAGGTACTTCAATCAGTGTCTTCTTTTTGTTTTTTTCACACTTTTTAGGATCATCTTATTTGCACCGGATTAAAGGACAATTTTTTCAAGAATATATTTACTTTAAATGTTGCTTTCAATGTATAAACAAGTAAATGTTTTTTTTTCTCCTGGCAGAGATTGTTTATTTTCCCTTAAAAAGAAGTTGACTCAAAGAAGGAAACATGTTTAACGGAGCAACAAGGGGAATCCCTCTTGCAGAATAATGAGGAGCCTTTGTTTAGGCCAACACATGCATCCCTTGTTTTTATTGGTGTAACCCCTCCATTTCCGCTCCCCATCCAGCTTGAATGATTCATTGAAATGCACATCTTGTTTGCAATTGACTACGTTCACAACCTGCTGAAA